CCCCCCAAACCCCACACACCATGTTCTCCCTTCCTAAGGGTCAAACCCCAGACCGCTATTTAAAGGTAGAGGACCATCACACATACCCATTGGTGGTACTGGGAGCTTTAATGAACTGATTTAGAAGATAAGAGGGCTGAATAAGTAGGATGATGCATCCTAACCCCTACTCGCCGGAAGTTTTTATTTTTTTATTTTCTCTGAAGAATTACTTGAAAAATCGGTGCATGATTTAATTGATTTGCATGCACGTAGATAGGTGTATGCTAGTGTATATATTATGAACTATGTAGTAGTTTCCTAGTTAGTTCTCTGTTTTGAGAAAGATGTATTATGCATATGTTTTGAATGGAAACTGACCCTCAAAATCTTCCTCTGTTTAGCCTTTTTATAGAAGACGACGGACAGTATTTTTTTTTGGTTAACTTGTTTTAAACTATTGGAACATAATGCGTTTATGATACTAGCTCCACTTTTCTGAGTTGCTCCTTGTCATTTCTTGTTATAGAGATTCCTGATACACACAAGAACCGCCTTCAAGAGTTCACCCAACGATCATCCCTTGATCGCCCTGTTTATCACACTGTCAATGAAGGCTCTCAGCATGCACCTCTCTTTAGATCCAGTGTCTTGGTTGATCGGTTTTGGTATACATCTCCTAGCACATTTTCACAGTTAAAGGTTGCGGAGCAGGACGCTGCAAAGGTTGCCTTGACTGGCGTGAAAGAAAAGATGAAACATGAAGGGTGCCCTCTTATTCGTGAGGTTTGTGTATCATTGCAAAATAATAGATCTATGACATTTAGCTAATATAAGAGTCCAAATGGCTTGTATCTAGTTGCTACGTGATTTCTCAAAGGAACACTCTTCTTTAAGGCATGTTTTATTTTTAATAAATGCTCTTTTTTAGAAATTGTCCTTGAATTTTATTATTTCTTTGGGCAATGTCTTAGCAGCTATTATTAGGGTTAGAGTACTGGATATCTGGAGGTTAACAAGGTTGATTATGATCATCCTGAAGTATGGCACTGCTAATGTTGTAATATGAGATGAAGGTCTCTTCTTTTTCCAACTGAAGAGATCAATAGACGAAAGCTTGAAATTTGTAAAGTGAATAATAAAGCACACTCATGTGCTTCATATAAGGATGCGTAGGCCGATGCATCATAGTTTTGTATTCATTTTATAGATCTATGACTATTAAGAAATTCATTGTTGATCTATCCCCGATCTATTTAACTTGTGAATATTGAGGAAAGGTTCAAAGTGTAATACTCTGAGATATTTTCTTTATCAATGATTTAAGAGAGTATGCTAATGTGTAGGCATTCTCTCCAAAATCTTTATCTCAGTATATAAACAGTCTCCAAAGTGCTGGTCAATAATTACCAAGTACAAGTTCTTGCAAAGAAGAATTTTTCAATATCTATATGTTTAGTCTCAGAGTTTCCTATTATGTGCAACTTCCTCAAAAACTTAGTGTCAGCGAAATGCCCAAGGAAGTGATTTTCTTCACTTGCTCTCTATTATCCATCCTCATGTTCGTTTTCTTTGTCATCACACAATCGGTTTTAACTTCATAGCAGTGGTAGTTATGGCAAATATTATATGTTTGATGTTGATGAATGGGTTTCTATAACTTTCTATTTTAGACCCAGGGAAGTAGATGTGATGGTGGCGCTATCACAAAAAAAGAAAACAAAAGAAGATGTGATGGTGGCATGTGACAAGTTTATCTAAGAAATGTCTGTCTGAAAGATGGTATTCTTCTTTGGTTAGTAATGAGTGGGTTAATGACTTAATTCAATTGGCCGGTTCAGATGACCTTCTCATAACCCCGTAATAGTAAAGACAAAGCTGATTATGGATTGAAAAATTCACAGTTCTGGTAGATGATTTACCATTTTAGTGAGTGAAACGAGATTCTCTTTGATTGAAGTTTTTAACAGTCCTGTTTTTCAACACGAGCTGTGAACCTGTAGTGCCCGTAATTTTTTTAAAACAACAGTGGTGTCCAAGTCATCTTGGGCGCACCTTGGCTAATTCCATGGGATACTTCGGACATAATTATGTGCAAACATTTACCTTATATGGTGCTTTAACTTTTAATGCTCTGCTGTATAGATGAAATCTCTGAGACTTTAGTTCTTTTTTAACTTACCATAACTTATTATCAACTCTAATTACAGATATTGTTAGGTTGAAGCTGATAAAAGCGTTCTTCTTGCTAACGGTCATATGAAAATTAGTCAACTCTGAAGTGCTATTCGTCTTCTTTCCAGCATCATCAATAAACTGCAGATGACTTTTTAGTAAATACTAAATAATAAGTTCAGCAAAAAAAAGTTTGTCAATTACTGTAGCTCTCCGTTATTGTGTTTATAAGCATACTAAAATCAACACAATAGGATTCTGCTATGTTCTTCATTATAGACTTGTCTGTATTTTATGGTGTTATTGAACTTGTATGTATTTTGAAAAGAGCATATGAAGACCTTTATATTGAAAGCTGAAATTGAAAAGATAAAAAAACTCTTAATCTTACTGAATTAGGTGAAGATTACATACCATGCATGGAAGAGTTTATACTAAGGTATAAATTACAAGCATATTTCCTTTCTAATTTTACATAGTCAAAGGATATTTGGTTATAACCTAAGTTGCTCCGACATGGCAGTTTAGGTGCCGAACCCGTGTCGACATGACACTAGTATGAGTGTGGGTGTAACAATTTCAAGTACTTTGACCATGATGGACTGAAAAATTCGAGTCGAGATACAATTTGATTCCCGAAATCAGAACCAAAACTAGGCTAAATCTGAAGAAAATAGCATACCTTATCTAAGAAATCAATCATTTACTTATCTACAGCTTGAGAATAAAAAAGAGATTCACACTTTGCAAGCTATACGTAAGAATTCCACAAAATTTCTCATAATTTAGAGATATTTTTATATTTTTATTGTTTTGAATTATTTTTAGCCGGATCCCCGCACCCGTATCCGTACTAGGATCCGTATCCCCAAATTTTAGAATTTACATCTCGAAGGATCCGACCTCTAGATCCGCACCCGTGTCGGACACCCGCACCCGTATCCGTACTAGGATCCGTATCCCCAAATTTTAGAATTTACATCTCGAAGGATCCGACCTCTAGATCCGCACCCGTGTCGGACACCCGCACCCGTATCCGAGCAACTTAGGTTATAACACTAACTGTACGGTATTGAAAATATTCATTATGGATATCCTGGAGTAGTAAGCTCCTTGACAGTATTAACTTTCTACCTTAAGTACATTCATGGTGTGTATATTTTCTAAAAGGTTTTTTGATTTTTCATTTCAAATATAAACTCTTAAAAAATTCAAAGTAAGATCATATTTTTTGAGATGTTTTCACGATAGAGAGAGAGAGAGAAAGAGAGAGAAGTAATAGGCTATTTTTCTTTAGCATTGTGACTTTGGACATTTCTGTTCATTTTTTACATATCATGGATGTATAGACATTCTGACACAAAATTAGGTTGGTTTATTTATGAAGTGTTAAAGAGCCAGAGAATTGAGATAATGGAGAAACTTTCGGTTAGAGCTGTTGTACTGATGTGGCGTTTGGATCTTAGATCTAGTATGCTGGTCCATCATTTATATAATTTCTGAATATCTAAAATTTATGCTTCAAAGATTAGTTAATCCAATTCTGTCTCACTCTTGGTCAAATCGGCCCCATTGAAGTTTCTTGATCCATTTACTCCAAACCTGGAAGACAATCTGACAAATGTTTCTCCTTTTTCATATTACTTATGCTGATTTACCTTTTGTACTTTTGTCTAGGATACGGTGTTTTGCAAGTCTATCTTGAATGAGTATGCTGTTAAGATGAAGCTTGAGAAACCTATTTATCATACAGTTCAACCTGAGGGGTTGCTTCCTGTTTTCAAGTCTACAGCAGTCTTTAATGGTAATCAGTATATGGGAGAAACTGGGAAAAACAAGAAAGAAGCTGAACAAATGGCAGCTCGAGCAGCGGTTATGTCCATTTTAGGTCAATCGCCTTCAACCAAATTCCGCTCCTGGAAAAGGAAGGGAATCTTAATATCCAGTCTTTCAAGTATTTGCTTTGTAACAAAGTGTTTAACTTTTCATCAATTCTTTTGCAGAAACTGATTCTGGAACCATGATGTTGGAGATCATCAAGTCTAAGCGCAAGCTTTATGTTGCACTGGATAAAGTTCAGGATACAGGTGATATTAATGCTGGCTTCATGCCAACGGAACTTAACCGTCCAGTTCGTGTGAATAAAAGGAAAGAAGTTGAAGTTATTGAGGATGCTGGGGAAAAGACTTATTCTGGACTTTTAGCGTGTAGTTTGGGACAGCCTAGTGATATTCAGGCACTTAATCAGCTTCATGTCTTTAAAAGACCAAAATTGGCATCTTCATCAGTGGAAGTTGCTCCTCCCATGGTATTTGTGCCCCCTGTCGTGGATCCATCTTTGCTATGTTCAACTTCAGGAAAGAGACGTAATCGGCGAAACAAGAAAAATGCAAAGAAGGATGTGCAAGTTGACCCTCAGTAAGTTTTATAATTGAATGATTTTAAAGGTTCTGCCAGAATTAGATTCGCTGAACTTTTTTATTTCATGGAACTTAAAGTCCTGTATAAGAAGCCCGTTCTATGTTCACAACCAAGTCAACTAGCGCTCTGCTCATTTTTTCTTCTGTATATAATCCTTTTTTCTCTTCGCTGATGGGCGGCTAATCCTATCTGTTTGCCCCTCAGTTTTACATTCTCCCGCGTACTTCGGTCATTGCAATTTCTTCTCAACTCTAGCAAGTTGGTTTCTGGTCAAACATACCTTGTCAAGTCATGAGTCTGTTAGTTGACCATATTATAAATATCTTATCGAGATGAACACAACAGTAAAAGTCTCGCCCACCAAGTTTTTAAAAAACACAACAGTGCATTTGTTTCACATGCCTCATGCACCATCAATTGTCTATGGTTGATTTAATTAGTTAATATCAACTAATTCGTCTAGTTAGCTATCTATGTCAGCTGACCTGTTTAGCAGTCTAGATCAAGTTAGCAATTATGTCAGCTAACCTTTCTAATTAGTTGTCCACGTCAGCTGACACATCAAATCAACTTACTGTTCTTTCAGCAGTAGACGCCACACAATCCAGCACTTAGTGCCCCATCATCAAGCACGTCATGATGTCTTCAATAATTAATATCAATAGTATCTGGAAAATATAATAATTGGTTCTATGTATTATTTCGACGTTTTGATTCTATTTTGCAGTAATTCGTTAAACACACTATGAGATCCCAAAATCCAGAATACACTATGTGTGACAAGTTTAGGACGTAATTTTTTTTTTTTTGGACAACGTTGGTATCCGGGCTAGCTTGTGCGCACCTCGGCTATCCCACCGGGTACCTGCTACCTCACAACAACACAGATACCAACTAATGTAGTCCACCAAGGCTTAGGCAGATGAGAGATGTTGGCGCTTGAGAGAATCTTGTTGAGAGAATCTTGTACTTTCCTTCTCTAGGTGTTGAAGTTATTCTACCACTCAAGGAGAGATGTTGTCTCTTCCAATTCGCCAACCTTTTTTCCATCTTCTCAAGGACCTCATTCCAAATTGACACTGATTTGTATTTGGCTCCTAAAGGTAACCCCGAATATTTTGTAGGAAAAGAACTGTGATTGCATTGCATTATTGTTGCAAGATGACTGATTTGACACAGTATTCACCGGAAACATGGAACTTTTTAAGAAGTTTATGTGCAAGCTCGACGCAGATTCAGACAAAGACAAAATCATTCTCAAGATTAAAACCTGATGTTCATCTGCATCACATAAAATTAGGGTGTCATCAATGTATAAAACGTGAGAAATTTTTATATTCCCCAAGCCTCTACTATTCACGTGGAAGCCCGAAATCCAGTTTACTTGTGAAGCTTTGTGTATCATGTTGCTATGCCCTTCCATGACTAGAATAAAAAGAAATAGTGAAAGTGGATCTCCTTGCCTAAGTCCTCTTTATGAAGAGAAAAAACCCTGTGGGGTACCATTTGTTAGAACAGAAAATTTTACTGAAGAAATGCAAAATCTCATCCAGTTAATCCATTTGTCGCTAAAACCCATTTGACTCAGCATACCCATTAAGAGCTTCCCGTTAACATGGTCGAAAGCGTTCTCTATGTCAAGCTTACAAATGATCCCCGGCTTTCCTAACTTAACCCTCGAATCCAAGCATTCATTAGCGATCAAAGCAACATCTTTAATGTTCCTGTTATTGAGAAAAGCCATCTAAGAAGAGCTGATTAACTTCGGAAGCACTACTTTATGTCTATTCGCCAAAGCTTTTGAGAGAATCTTGTTGAAATTGCCTATCAAACTGATAGGTCTATAATCTTTAAGTTCCTTTGTACCTATTTTCTTAGGGATGAGAGCAATGTAAGAACAATTCAAACTTCTCTCAAATGCCTCATGGGTATGGAAATAGTTGAGAGCATTCAACAAATCAACTTTAATAATCGGCCAACACCTTTTGTAGAATCCCATAGAAAAACCATCCGGTCCTAGAGCGTTGGCGCTTTCACAACTTTTATTGATGCATAAAATCTCCTCTTCTGTAAAAGCTCCATGTAGCCACTCTTTTTCATCATTGGAGATACAACCGTTGATTCACGTCCTGCACCTCTCATATGCACCCAGCATCGGGCCTCGCTCATTCACGTCTTGACCCTGCTACTACTATGGACTTGTCTCCTCCTAGTCAGCCGATTGCACTTCAGAAAGATTTACGGACCACACTTAATCGTAATCCCCATTATGTCGGTTTAAGTTATCATCGTTTGTCATCACCCTATAATGCTTTTGTATCTTCTTTGTACTCTGTTTCCATCCCTAAATCTACAGGTGAAGCACTGTATCATCCAGGATGACGACAATCTATGGTTGACGAGATGTCTGCTTTACATACGAGTGGTACTTGGGAGCTTGTTCCTCTGCCTTCAGGTAAATCTAATATTGGTCGCCGTTGGGTGTATGCAGTCAAAGTTAGTCTAGATGGCCAGGTTGATCGACTTAAGGCTCGTCTTGTTGCCAAAGGGTATGCTCAGATATTTGGGCTCAATTACAATGATACTTTCTCTCCCGTTGCTAAAATAACATCAGTCCCCGTTTTCTATCCATCACTGCGGTTCGCCATTGGCTTCTCTATTAGTTGGACATTAAGAATGCTTTTCTTCACGGTAACATTGAGGAAGAAGTTTATATGGAGCAAACACCTGGTTTTGTTGCTTAGGGGGAGTCTAGTGGCTTTGTATGTCGGTTGCGCCGGTCACTCTATGGCCTAAAGCAGTCTCATCGAGCCCGGTTTGGTAAGTTCAACATAGTTATTCAGGAGTTTGGCATGACGCATAGTGAAGGTGATCACTCTGTGTTTATCGGCATTCTGCTTCAAATCTCTGTATTTGTCTGGTGGTCTATATTGATGATATTGTTATTACCAGCACTGATCAGGATGGTATTACTAAGTTGAAGCAACATCTCTTTCAGTACTTTCAGACTAAGGATCAGGGGAGATTAAAGTATTATCTAGGTATTGAGGTCGCTCAGTCTAGCTCAGGTATTGTGGTCTCGCAACGGAAGTATGCCTTAGACATTCTTGAGGAGACATAAATGACAGGTTGTAGACCTGTTGACGCTCCTATAGATCCGAATTCTATACTTCTATCAGGACAGGGGGAGCTGCTTAGCGTTCCTGCAAGATATAAGCGGCTGGTTGGTAAATTAAATTACCTTATAATGACTAGACCTGCCATTTCCTTTCCCGTGAGTGTTGTGAGTCAATTTATAGATTCTCACTGTGATAGTCATTGGGTCGCGGTTGTCCGCATTCTTCGGTATATAAAATCAGTTCCAGGCAAAGGATTATTGTTTGAGGATCGAGGCCAAGAGCAGATCGTTGGATACTCAGATGTTGATTGAACAGGATCACCTTCTGATAGACGTTCTACGCCTGGATATTGTGTTTTAGTAGGAGGTAACTTGGTGTCTTGGAATAGTAAGAAACAGAATGTCGTTGCTCGGTCTGGTGCAAAAGCAGAATATCGAGCAATGACTATGGCAACATGTGAGCTAGTTTGGATCAAACAGTTGTTCAAGGAGTTGAAATTTTGGTGAGATCAGCCAAATGGAACTTGTGTGTGATAATCAAGCTGCCCTTCATTGTATAGAATCTGGTGTTCCATGAGAGATCTAAACACATTGAGATTGACTGTCACTTTGTCAGAGAAAAGATACTCTCAGGAGATATTGCTACAAAGTTTGTGAAGTTGAATGATCAGCTTGCAGATATTTTCACCAAGTCCCTCACTAGTCCTCGTATTGGTTATATATGTAACAAGCTTGATACATATGATTTGTATGTACCAGCTTGTGGAGGAGTGTTAGAATAGCTGTATGAATATATATGTAATTAGTCTTAGTCCCGTATGTAATAGGAGTAGGTTATATATTTTGTGTACTTATAAATATGGCTCATTGTATTACAATTAAAATCAATAATATATTTTTCTCCCGTGCTTTCTCACACTCTTTATACTACCTAAATAAATCCACTCCTAGATAGCAACCATGCATGGGTTTTTATGTAATGCTAGTCCAACCACCTCTTTTCGTTTTAGCAACCCAAGAATTATGCAAGTTGTCTTCTTATTCGCGATCATCACATGTTTCTTTGGGAGCTCTCTGTATGGTTTCATTCGCTTAATTAACACATCCTCTTGTGTATGCAGGGCGCCTGGTGCCATGTTGCCGTTGACTCAACTTCCTCCCTGCTCGGTGGCGCAGTGAGTTCCTTTGGTGATCATTTCTGCCAGAGGTGAAGAAACTTCACGAACCTCGTTTGAATTCTGTTAAAAACCATGCAAATACTAATTGTTTTCGCTAGTTGTGATTAATTCATCTGTTGAAATATGTTGCAGGTGTGAAATCGTTGCATTTGCAGGACTTGCGTCCTATGTCTGATACCATAACAAGACCCCTATATGTATGTAACATTATGTAAACTTTTGCTCCTTGTAGTAAGTTGGTGGACAGTGTCCGACATGTTAAAGCCTTGCAACTTCTGCTGTAGTCGCGGATAGTTTGTTATGGTTTGGTAGCAAACTCATGACATTCTAATTTTCCTTGTGCTTTTACTTCCCATGGCGTTTTCTTGCATTGTTTTCTTTGATGCTAATAAATGAAATTGATTTTACAAATGCAAGGAAGTAGCGGATATAAAAATCAGAGTGGAGACTAGAGAAAATGCGCTCTACACTTGGAGTGTTAAGTCATGTTTGTTTGTGGTACTCTTAAGTCGTGTTTCTTGTTCTGCTCTCTGTCTTCCTATAAATTTGGTATTTTTTGTACTCGGTAGGTAATTGAGACCAAGTGAAAAATAGGACACAACAGAGAGAAAAAAAGATCCATAACAGTATCAATTGTCATGTTAGTACGCTTGCTTTAATTTTATGTTCTAGGACACTTGGTCATGTCTGAGATTTATATTCTAGTAGAAAGCATTGAGAGCTTCTAGTACTTGATATTTATTTTGTTTAATATCGGTTTGAGATGCTCTTAATGAAACCACATGATTAGTGAGGATTTATATTGTTGATTTCAACTCGTTTGGTTTTGGCTATTGAGGGGTAGGTGTAGGTAATTTAGATGCTGATACTATGTCCTAAAAATTATACAAAGAAACAAAGCATAGCATGATAGAGAAACCAAAATTTCCCAACGCACAGTAAATTAGTGACACGAAAATCGTTGGCCTCGATCATGCATACACCACTTTTGTATAGTTGGATGATAATTAGCGCACCACATTATTATTGGGACGATTTGTAAAAATTGTACGGGACGCCCCCATTTAACCTATACCCATTTTTTTTAAAATTTTTTAACTTGTACCCACTTTTTAAACAACTTTAACCCCCTTTCTCCTCCTCCTCCTCAAAGTTATATCCGCCTCTTCTTTTTCAAACTTCTCCTCCCTTTTCTGCAAGAAATCTGTTACACAACGTTTTTATCTAGGATTTCGTACGTAAAATACACAAGCTCATTCATAATTATAATCTAATCAAATACTATTAATAATAATGGGAAACAAAATTTAAGGAAAATCAGCTGCAATTATCACAGTGTCAGCAGCCTCGACCTCCATTTTTGCTCTCAACATATCAGCCTGTGTTGCTTCCTCCTCACTTCTTGCCATCATCTTCTTTCCCTAAAACATTAATAAACTATTCTTGTAAAGCTACAATCAGTTACATTAATAAACCTGCAGTCTTAGAACTTCAGCTCTAGAATCAGTTCTAGAGCTCTAGAGCTGAAGTTCGCCAGTTACAAACAAAAACTTCAGCTCTAGAGCTAAGTTCGCTAGTTACAAAATAAAAACTTCATCTCTGGAGCTGAACTTTAGGCTCGGCTACTAGAATGTTGAAGTTTTGCGTGATTGTCTTTGCTATTTTAGCCCCGTATGCTGAAGTTATGCGAAAAAGTGGGTACGCTTGCAACTTTTTTTGCAAAGCGGACACAAGTTAAAACGTAACACAAAAAGCGGGTATAGATGCAAATGCACGGACGATTTTGAGTAAAATTCCAATTTTTGAGGGATTATGTTGGGCATTTAGCCCATTTTACGCTAATGGCCATTTCAGAACAGCCTTAGCTCATACTTAGCTCAAACCCATTGTTATGTGATTTCCTTAAGCTAGATAGCAGAGATACTTTTTACTTTTTAGGACTTACGTATAGTAGATGATAACTGGATATTTTAACTATATAAAACGAAGCGAAGGCATATTCGAATATGCGAGCAGATTCCCTTAATAACCATCTATTAATCCCATGTGGGAATTAATGATATGACAAAAATTATATGAAGACAAAAAAAAAAAAATCAAAATACATTCGAGTAAATTAAAGTAATCCATCTTAATATAGACTGTTAATTATCCGTTTACTTATTTGTTAAAATACCATATTTCCTACTGTAATCTATATTTATTTATTTCAAATTTTATTCTCCAGTTTAGTTACTAACAACAATTTCAATTCTAAAGATGTCTCTGTCCATGTGCTGACACGTAGCAGCCCATGTTAAAAGAGCAGGATTAAAGGGATCCGACTTCATTAAATGTTAGCCAAGGCCAATCTAATCTCAGTTAAGTAAATCATTGAGGCTTAATTAGCTGTTTATTAGATAAGGGATTTATATATTAGTACATATTACCTGCCCAGATAAGATGTATTCAGGAGGTTTAAAAAGGAACATACGGTGGCGGATTCAGAATTTTCATTAAGGGGTGTCAAAATATAAATAATTAGATATATCAAAAAGTCAAGAGGAGTCAACATATAATAATATACATAAAATAAAAAATTTATCTAATAAAATAGCGTAAGTTTTCGACGAAGGGATATCACCCATTGCTTTAATGTAGCTCCACCACTGGGAACATGGGGTTTTAACTATACTACATATAGTATTAGGATATTACTGCCTTTAAATTAAATGCACTAGACCTAAAACACAACATAATCTCCTTGAGACAAGGAATTCTGCTCATCTCCCAATGCCAGCTTTGATTTACACATTCCCCATTTCTTCTTGTCTGTGACAATACACACAAACATGTGGATGACTATCTTCATCGGGTTTGCCAAAACATTATGAAAAGAAATTGCTTAATTTATTTCTGTTTTATGACTTAACCAATATTAATTTAATACTATCAACCATCTCTTAGCGGGAGAAATAAAAAAATAGCCAAATTTACAAGTTGTCATTTAAAAATAACCACAATTTCAAAAATAATCGAAATTTAGCCATTTTTCATGTAAAGATAAATCTGAATGAAAATACTGTTCGAAATCCGGAAAAATACTCCAGTATTAGACTGGAGTTCCAGTATAATATACCGATCCAGCATAATATACTGGAGTTTGGAGCACCTGTGCTCCAGTCTCCAGTATATTATACTGGAGTAAAATACTGTTCGAAATCCGGAAAAATACTCCAGTATTAGACTGGAGTTCCAGTATAATATACCGATCCAGCATAATATACTGGAGTTTGGAGCACCTGTGCTCCAGTCTCCAGTATATTATACTGGAGCCAGCAAAGTATACTGATCCAGCATAATATGCTGGAAGTTTATACATAGGTGCACCGAACTCCAGTATATTATGCTGGACTGGTCTCTGTTGCAGCAAAATAATGGTTATTTTTTAATGACTTGACAAATACTGATTAGTTTTAAATTACCAGTCCGAAAACTGAGTAGATGTTACTATTTTAACTCTCTTAGTTAGTGTCGACATCTCGAACTTACCTTAAGAAGTAGTACTATAACGACTTTGCACACTTGTGAAGTACAGTTTGCCAAGTCGTGTAGAAAGAGACGTAGTGCGTTTCCGTCAATTTTTCCTATAATTTTCCTAAAGCTAATACTAAAAGTTTAAGTTCTATATATGCTCTGATGATGTACTTCTTTTCAATAACCAACTCATGTTAAAAGAGCTCTAATAATGTAAATATTTTTACAATGTCAATATATATGATAAAAATGCAAGTAATCACATAATTAATGTGTCAGGATAACTACTATTTTCTCCGTTTTAATTTGTTTGAGCCTTTTCGGAGTATGAGGATCAAATTAATTAATTTTCTGTGTGAATTCAAATTTAGATTCTTTAGATTTTTCGAAACAAAATTTACATATAAAAAGTAATATAAATCACAATAATTAATAATTTAAAAACTATTTATAAAAAATATGATCAAAGAAAACCTTATTTAACTCCTCAAATAGTAAAAGGTGGTTTATTCTTTTTAAAGCATATGGAGTATATATATAGTAAGAGTTCCATGGTTATTTTAAGAAGTAGAAATAAGAGTGGCACTGTTAGTCAACAAAAATGGAAGTTGTGTCCAAGATCAATTAAGACAAAACGTCCCTTTCCTGCAACTAACTCAGGCCAATTGTTTTAGCAATTATTGGAAAGAAATTCCATGCAACCACACTTGACGACTTGAATAATTGATCGTCAACTTGGTGCTGCATGCTATTAAACAATAATACAAGCTGACTGATCCAAACTAATTGTGTACATGTACAGATAGTATCCGAGTGGAAGCATGAAATTTAAAATATAACTTATGACTAATTGTAAAACCTATAGTACTAGCATCCCAACAAAAGGGATCATCAACGACGTTGGAATACGTTGTATAGCTAGTCCTATAATTGTCTAAAACGTTGTTTTCTATACATAAACCATATAATGTAAGCAACATTAGGATGCACTCAAAAATAAATACGAAAGACAAATGTACATCAATTATTTTAAATAGAGAAAACTTTCATTAATGTACTTTAGAAAACGATCTCTTCACTTCGACCGTCCAAACTTTGTTTGCGTCGAATCAAATGTTTATACGTCGATTTTCCTTTTTTAACTGTCATAATTCAAACTAAGTACCTTCGTGAATGATTTGTAATAATGTAAATTCACGCATTCACGATAAGGTAATAAGGTTCCAAACTTTTGAAAACTCAGAAGTACGAGCGAGAAGTATAACCAATATTTACCTTACAACTAGCTAGAGTAGTTCCGCCACCCCACCCACCCCCCAAGGCGAGGGTCTATTGAAAACAACACGAGGTAGGAGTAAGGACATAAGATCTGACCAGTGGCAAAACCACATGGTCATAAGGATGGTCAATTGACCACCCTTCGTCGAAAAATTGTACTGTATATATAGGTAAAATATTATGTTTTAGAGGTATATAACACATACTGAACACCCTCTATCGGTTATTGTTTTTATTTGTTTTAAATTTGAACACCTTGTGAAAATTCCTAGCTTCGCCACTGGGTCTGACAACACTCTACCCTCCTCAGCTTATGCCCTACTTATGGGATCGCGCTGGATATATTGTTGTTGCTGTTGTAACTAGAGTAGTTTTTTGGCATCGAGTATTCGTGGATCAGTCGGACCAAGAAATTCCAAGTGAATCTGGCTGCATGTTAAGTATATCTCAATAAAACAAAAAAAAAATCCTAGAAGAATTTCCAAACCAATCTAGGCTGGAGAAAGTATATGTAAAATCCATCACTAGCTTAATTAGCTGGCTCGTTTAGCTTAGACACCT